GGTGTGGTATGACACCCTGTCATTTTTATACGCTCGTTTACGGGACGTACTATGGTATACCGTTGTCCGTCGTCAACATGTCGGACATTAACTCAAAACCGCTTTAACCAATTTGCATAAAACTTTGGTGAATTGTTTATATCTATTGACATGAGCTCCCTTTCGTTTTTTATAAATTTTAGATTTTACGTTTCTGAGTTGTGGGGTTTTATTCATTAAAAAAAGGGGGATTTTCCAGTTTTCAGACAATAAAAGCTTTCACCAACATGCAAGAAATTGTGGTGAATTGTTTATATCTATTGACATGAGTTCCCTTTCGATTTTTATATATTTTAGATTTTACATTTCTGAGTTGCAGGGTTTTATTCATGAAAAAAGGGGGGATTTTCCAGTTTCGGACAAAAATCAAAAATGCTTTCAGCAGTTCGTATGAAACTTTGGTGAATTGTTTATATCTATATTGATGTAAGCTCCGTTTAAAATTTTATAAATTTTACATTTTACATTTCTGAGTTATGGGGTTTTATTCATTAAAAAAGGGGTGATTTTCCAGTTTTCGGACAATAGCTCAAAAATGCTGTCAGCAATTCTCATGAAACTTAAGTGAATTGTTTATATCTATTGATGCAAGCTCCCTTTACAGTTTCATAAATTTCTAATATGACTGGGAATTAATTGAACTTTATTTGTTTATAGTCTGACGACAGATTTACTAAGTATTGCGCAACAGCACAGTGTATTGCACAACAGCAAGAAATCTTTAATTTCATCACGTTCTAATGAAGTAACAAGCTTATTTTGCCGAAAGTTAGAATGATTTGATCTACAATTGAGTAACAAGTACCAGAAGTGATAAAAAAATTGTCTTTATGAAAATAACATGCAACCAACTTTAAAATCAATGCTTTAACCTCCTAAAGAAAATAAATTGTTTACGTCTTTGAATTTCTTTACTTTCAATTGAAAAATTGCTGTTTCATCGACTTGGTAAATGTTGAATATTGCCGATGACGAAAGCGACTGAAAGTGAGTATCGTAAACAACAGGGCGACTAGATTTCGCTTTTGAAGGTCGGTCAAAGCGAAGTGGCGACCGGGGAAAGCGACTTTGTCGCCCCAGTAGCATGGTAACGTGAGCCCTGCACAATGCTTATTACTTTAAAACACAGTCCTGTAATATTTTTTATTCTACTTTGAATATTGCCTGCTTATTTCAGCAACTATTCTTACAAAACAATCCTCTATTTATCCTAGGTGTTGCACTCAGTATTGTTGATTATATTTATATGTATAGGTAGTAAAGTGAATGCAACCCCCTTTTTGAAGGTAGGTAACAGTTAACAAACTTTATCACTTATCAGTAGTTTAGAATGGTTTAAAAAAAGATCTAATAGATGTTACATGCATTTATTTATAATGCCTTCCTCTCAAAAAGTTTGCATGTGTTTTAAAGTGGTTATTTAGCAATGTAATTTTTTCCTTAAGTATTAACATTAATTTGGAAGTAAGTTAAAGGATTTCAGTTAACCAAATAATTTGGAAGTAAGTTAAAGGATTTCAGTTAACCAAAATTATTTCACGCCTAATTTATATAAACAAATCCCACGTCCATATATAACATGTACAACAATAAAACATCAAACATTAACCCACGCCAAACTGGATGTTATTGAAAGACATCTAGAGGTCAATATACAGTCTCGAACAAAAGACAAAATGAGGAAAAATATAGCAAATTTTTGAGAATTATTATTGCATGTATATTTGCAATATTTAAAATGCATAGTTTAAAATCTTTTGAGTTTTAGGTTCCACCTACCATTTTAGAAAACTGGGATTTCATTGCAGCTAGTCTATTAGATAACATTTTATAGTTTTGAATGTTTCTTCATCAGTTAACTAAAATTAGGTGGAGGTATGTTCTTATTTCTGACAGAGGGGTACTCAACCTATATCAATTTGTGCATGAAGCGATTGATAGTTGCTATATACATGATATACTGAATAATTTTACCACAAATTTGTGAAAGTTTTAACCGGTGTATATACTTAAAATATGTTAATAAAGTTCATGTCTTTTTCAGGACTTCTGATTCAACCATGTAGTATGGCATGTTTGTGAGATATGGTTTTGGCCAGTAGGATGTTCATGAAGGACCTGTAGTACAAAGTATATCACTGGATTGAGCTCATTGTCTAAGTGTATTATTAAAGTGCTTTGCTTTGAGCTCAGTTCATTGTTATGCAATTCATTCTTTGTGAAATAAAGATTTGACAGACAACTCTCATGTACAAGGAATTGTCAAAGTAGTATCCATTCTATGAACAATGTAAGTAATAGGGAGATAAAAGCATTTTATTTAGATTTGAACCAAACATTTTTTGTCCATTAGCCAAACTAAAAAAAAGAAGCACAAATTCACCAAACAATGCTGCTGGCGCTACTAGCAATATGTTGCTAGGTTCTTTTGTTACACTTTATTATGCCCCAGCCGTATCGGAGGGGGCATTAAGTTTTACCCTTGTCCGTCTGTACGTACGTATGTCCCAAAATTGGTTTCCGTTCTCTAACTTTAGTTTGCCTCAACCAAATGTTATGAAACTTATACACAATGCTTATTACCACAAAACACAGATCAAGTTTGAATTTTGGTGGCGTCACTTTTACCGTTCTAGAGTTAAGCCCCTTTACAAATGGAAAATTGCTGAATTTATCATTTCCGTTCTCTAACTTTAGTTTGCCTCAACCAAATGTTATGAAACTTATACATAATGCTTATTACCACAAAACACAGATCCAGTTTGAATTTTGGTTTCGTAACTTTTACCGTTCTAGAGTTATGCCCCATTACAAATGGAAAAATTGCTGAATTTTTCGTTTCTGTTCTCTAACTTTAGTTTGCCTCAACCAACTGTTATGAAACTTATACACAATGCTTATTACCACAAAACACAGATCAAGTATGAATTTTGGTGGCGTCACATTTACCGGTCTAGAGTTATGACCCTTTACAAATGGAAAAATTGCTGAATTTTTCATTTCCGTTCTCTAATTTTAGTTTGCCTCAACCAAATGTTATGAAACTTATACACAATGCTTATTACCACAAAACACAGATCAAGTTTGAATTTTGGTGGCGTCACTTCAATCATTCTAGAGTTATGCCCCTTAAGAAATGGAAAAATTTCAAAATTTTTATTTTCTTCTAAATATCAAGTAATTTTTTAATTGGAGTTATCTTCCTTTGTCCATGATTATAGTTGAATCAGCTACAATCAATGCTTTATACAATGCAATGTTTAATTTTTACTTCCACTGATAAAACACAAATCAAGTTGAATTTGGGTAGTGTCACTTTAATCATTATTGAGTTATGCCCCTTTATAAATTGAAAGATTGCAAAATTTTTAGTTTCCATTCTGTAACTTAAGTTTGCCCCAACTAAACATTATGAAACCTATACACAATATTCATTACCACAAAACTAAGATCAAGTACAAATTTTTTGTTTCCGTTTTCTAACTTTAGTTTGCCTCAACCAAATGTTATGAAACTTATACACAATGCTTATTACTTCATAATACAGATTAAGTACGAAATTTGGTGGCAACACTTTTACCATTCTTGAGTTATGTCCCTTTATAAACATTAAAATTGCTGAATTTTTCGTTTCCGTTCTCTAACTTCCAAATGTTATAAAACTTATACACAACCGTTATAGAGTTATAATTATTTATTGCGTGTTTACAAATAGAAATTGCTGAATTTTTAGTTTCTGTTCTCTACTTAAGTTAGCCTCAACCAAATGTTATGAGACTTGCACACAATGCTTATTACCACAAAACTAGGATGAAGTTCAAATTTGGGTAGCGTCACTTTTACCACTTCAGTTATGTCCCTTTATAACTATATGATATGCAAGTGGGGGCATCACATGTGGACACTATCCACATTATTTTTTTTTTACATCTGTACTGCCTACTGGTGACTCAGTTCTGAGTGTAAATGGTCATTCAGTATTTTAAGAAAAAGATCAGAATTTATAAGGCCTATCTGGCCTAATTGATTTGTAAAATATATTTCATTGTACATGTTCAACATTTATCATTCATTTGTTTATTTCTTAATTTGTGTGAATTAACAGTAAATGTTAGTTACTACACTTTCATACCATAACAAAACTGCCTTACTGTATTGGTATCACTTATATTTGTATCCATATAACAAAAAAACTGAAAAGAGAATACTTTTGCAATAGCTTTTTCATATTGAATACTAAAACTTTTTAGATATTTAGAAATATTAAGTAGATGTTCATAATATCCACTTGACATTTTATCATGTGACTTCTGTAGTTAGTTATGAGTCTTTGAAGCATGCTCACAAAGGTTCTTTTGTTGATATCATTTTCATACTGGTCAAAACTTTTTTTTTGCTTTGACCAGCTTTGGAGGAGATATTTTCAAAGAATTAATAAAAAATAACACAGAAATTCACTTTCTAGCTCATCTAGCCCCAATCATCATGTCAGGCATTGTCATTACTAAAAAACATTAAATGTCTTCTAAACTGAGAAACAATTTCCACATTTAACCGAAATCTTTTATTTATGATACTGACAATCCCCCACAAAGTAATATAAATAGAACCATACAAATAGTAAGCAAATACATGTTCTCAGATACCATCTCCCATATAAAAAAAATCACAGTAAGAAAAAAATGAACCTATTATGTGTTCCTCTCCTAGCTACAATATGTATCCAAAATCAAAGATGCGGAACATATATATTCTATCATAATCATTTGGTAATTAATGCAATTAGTATCTGTTGAACATAAAAAACTAAATATTACATAAACAACACCCCTAATGCTCATGTTGGTTGTCATTGTGCAACACAGTTAATACATAGAAAACATAAAATATAGAACTCCTTATGTCATATAAAACACTGTCAAACATCCAATCATACTGTCCACACTGATCTGTGTCCACACTTGTTTAATACAAAAAATAAATATCTTGAATTTAACATATGACTAGATCTAGATGATGAATGAGTCTGTGCAGTGATGGAGACCATAGAATACTTGGCAAGATGATCCATGAAAATGAATTCTTATTTATTCTGTGGAATCTTCGTTATCCATTAACCTTCAAATAAAAGAAATCAATATCATTCTTTATACATCAGTAAAGATTAATCTTCACTAGAACTGGATAAAATACATTCAACTTTTACTCCAACCGTAGCCATAATAGTTCCTTCAAATTCTTAAAGTGACAGTTTTGTTGATTTCACGCCTTGTATGCATACATATTATATATCCACTTCAGCGTGTACTATATACATCTGTACTTTTCTGTTAAAAAAGTTATTTTACAATTTGAATGGCTGTTTCATGCTGTGGTGGTGTTGGAAAGCCACAGTCTTGTTAGTAAGAGTTAGTAGCCTGGGATCCTGGCTCACTGCTCGAAAGTAGACGGAAGTATTAGATTGGGACAGGATGCCAGGCTATAAGAGTTAGACGCAGTATGCTATTCTGTCCATTATAATTTTTTTCAGTCACATCAAATATTGATAATTTAACAGTAAATAATTTGATAATGGGATCCAGAACATGTAACTAAGTTATTTATATCTTATGGAGAAAAAAAAATAACAGCTTACCATTTATAACATACACTGGGTCTATATCATCAAGATCGCCGGTATAAATGATGGGTCTAGGAGCATATGATCTGTAATATCTTGGTGTATAGTATCTTCTATATATTACATAAGCATCAGTCAGTGAGACCACAAACAAAACCAATAGAACCAGCATACACAGTCTCCTCACCATCGTCATGATGTGCTGTCAAATAAAATTACTAGTAATTAAATACATGAAGCACTGAGTGTTGGTTCCATGCATTTAAAACGACGATTATCAGTTTAAACACGGGTTAGGGCCCATGGTATGGAACTTTATAATAGATTTTGCATAGTTCTTAAATAGAAATTTGAAATCCTCTTGACAAAACAAAAAAAATGTGCATGTTTGTTTCTATATAAAACTGCACTTCCATCAAACATTGAATCAAAATAAATCAGTTTCCCTAAAAATCTTGAAATTACATAGATCAACAACATATTTAATTTTTAAGATAAATCTATGGACTTGAAATTGGAGATTTGATGATTTTAAGAAAATTTAAAAACGTTTCGCCCATTTTTTGTGCTTTTTATACAAATATTCATCTATTTTGAAATAATTCAATCAAGATTATTTCTGGAAATAAAGGAGGTAAATGTATACTATTATCGATTTTAGGTTGAGTGCAACGAGCCAAAGTTGTGTATTAAAATTTTTACCAAAATCTGTGACAGCCAATTTTTTATACCTGGACCTAGAACATGTTTCAATTAAGAATAAAACTAAATATTAAAAGATTAGTATCATTTACAAAAGTGTAAAATGTGTGCAGAAATTCCTAATCATAATATAAGCTGAATGAAATATGTAGATTAGGTATAAGGTATTTTTCTGTGTGCCAAAAAAAAAACCCATTACATAACGATTGAAATAACAAAAGTTAATATGATACAGATAAATAATACTTACATTGAAATGCGTGCGCTTGTAAGTCCTTTGAATATTTTGATCAAACATGCAATGGTCAATCTCCTTTTATATGATTGATCAAATGACCTATGACTCATATTTATCTAATTAGTTTTTGTAATTAATTATTGTCAGACAAATAAATGTCAAGATGGTCATTTGACAAACAATAAATCGTTACCTTGTTTATTTCGCCAATCTATCTGATTGGCTAATATAATGAGAGTAGAATGTTAGATATTTGTATTTCCTAAAACTGGAATAATATTGTCTGTGTACTTGCATGATGATATGTTGTTTTTTTCTCACCGGACACGAATGATAAGAAGATTGTTAGTTTTTTTTTATATATTTTTTGATTCGTTTCCTTTATTTTACTAAAAATACAACTTTTTACATTGAAGGTTAAACCAAATACACTGCGATCTGCAATTTCCATAGGCATACCAGAGACATATGTGTATATGTTAGCGGCAATAAGTGAAATTAGGCATTACGCTTAAATCCTAGGATTTAAACTTTAATCCTGAAATTATGTCCAGGCATTAATGTTAATGCCTAAAATGAAAATGAGAGTAAATAAAAAGAAATGTATTCAAAGTTAAAATACATTGTGTACATGATAAAATAATAAGAACTGAAGTTTGGAGTGTGCAAATTATACGCAATTAACAATGATTCTATCCAACTATAAAAACATTAACATCGGAGTCAGAGTTTTAGGTAAGACTGTTAGTTTCGGAAATTGATATTAAAGTTACCAAAATTTCTCTCAAGCATTTCTTGAATGATAATTGTTTGCTTATCGTAAAGCGGCTACTATTTCATAAAATAAACCATGACGAAAAACAATTATACAATATATATCCTAAATTAGATAGATTATCAACGTTATCTGGTAGTCTTGATGCATCTAAGACAGCAAACGACAACCACTGAGTTACAGGCTCCTGACTTGGGAAAGGCACATATAGAATGTGGCGGGGTTAAACATTTTTGTGAGCTCTCAACCATCCCTCTAATCTGGGACAGTTGTGTAACAGCAAAATATAAGAACAAGCTGAACAAATCAGTTAGAAATGGCTTGACTCACCAGATCAGCACGAAGCAACAACAAAAAACAACGATAGACACAGATTACTCGCAGTAACCGAAAGCTAGTTCAAAGCCAATTACAACTAATAAATAAATCATTTTCTTCCAGACTAAAGTATCAATCGGTATACAAATCCACCGGATTTTTAGTGTTAAGACGTCATAAACAGTCTAAGAAAAAGCATGGCCTTCTTGTGCAATGCCAAAATATAAGTACATGATATTATCGACAGGATATAGGACCAAAAGTTTTCTGAAATTCATAAATGTATAGCAATACCTATGTTATGTTTTAATTTGTCAAAAACAAAATCAATATAAGAACCGATGAAAACAATATTCAAAGATCTAATTACGGTGTTAAATTAATATCATTTTAGGATAAGTTTATTCAAAGTTAATTTATAACTTTTGGAATCCGGTTATTTCTGGTTGATAATTAGCTGTACATCTAGGCATACCATTCTTGTGAAAATGATTAATTTTACTGCCGTTTTAGTTATTTTTTATATGTAATAATATTGACATATACATAATGATATTAATTGTTAAACACTTAATAAATCAAAACACATAGTTACATGCATGTACAAATAAATGTATTAGATAATAATGACATGTGCTTAGTGGGTCTCGTTTTGATCGATGGAAATCAAACACCCAAACCAGTCTTTAAGATATCGAGATATACGTAAAATTTCAATCTTTTATCAAACTGATATATAACCAAGATGTCGTAAAATGAAATTGGAAACCCTGCATTTATCATGCTTTTCAATAACATATGGTCAAATCGCTGAAACACTCCATCGTACGGCCTGCAACAATGAGAAAACCCATACCGTATAGTCGGCTTTAAAAGGACCCGAGATAAAAACATGTGAAACAATTCAAACGAGAAAACTAACGGCCTAATTTATAGCAAAACAATTTACCAAAAAAAAATATGGCAGATTTGAACCAACGACAATCACTGTACGACAGGCTGCCGACTTGGGACATGCACATAAATAATGTGACGAGGTTAAACCGTTAAACCTGTTTGTAAGCGGTCAACTCTCCCCCTTATCTGGGACAATGGTGTAACAGCAAAACATAAAAACAAACTATAAAAAGCAGTTATTTGTAATTGGCTTAACTCAAAAGATCGGTACGAGACACGTTAAACCACTAACATAAAAACAATAGACATAAAGCACCGAAATAAGAGTACTCGCAGTTACTGAAAGCTAGTTCAAAGCCAATTAAAACTAATAAAAAATGATGTTCTCCCAGACTAAAAAGCTCTTTTTTTTACATTTCGAGTATATTTCCCTATAAACTGTTAATTACCACGACGAATTTAAGCAAGGCCTTTCGTTTTCCATTTGAGTATGCAAAGTTATTTTCATCAAAACCCAACTTGTCATCATTGCAACCCAAATTTCATTTTAGCAATGTCAAGGAGCATACTTCTTCAATCGTGAATTGAATCGAAGTAAAAATTTTATTAGATCTGAAATTAACTTATATACTTAAAGCTTTCCTTTCACTTCTTTTCAATTTTGATATAAGTCGAGGACACTTAAGTATGAAAATGCGATCAAAGGGTATATTTATGCTTTGGTGACTGTTATTTTGTCCGGAAAGCCGGCATGAAAAAATAAAATAAATTTTCTATAGTTCTAGACTGTTTACGGGACGTATTATGGTATACCGTTGATCGTCCTATCGTCCGTCCGTCCGTCGTCAACATGTCGGACATTAATTCAAAATTACTTTAACCAATATGCATGAAACTTTGGTGAATTGTTTATATCTACTGACGTGAGCTCCCTTTCGTTTTTTATAAATTTCAGATTTACCATTTCCGAGTTTTGGGGTTTTATTCATTAAAAAGGGGGGATTTTCCAGTTTTCGGACAATAACTCAAATGAAATTTCACCAATTTGCATGAAACTTTTGTGAATTGTTCATATTTATTGACGTAAGCTCCCTTTCGTTTTTTATAAGTTTCGGATTTACCGTTTCTGAGTTTTGGGGTTTTATTCATTAAAAAAGGGGGGATTTTCCAGTTTTCAGACAATAACTCAAAAACAATTTCACCAATTTGCAAGAAACTTTGGTGAATTGTTTATTTTTATCGACATGAGCTCTCTTTTGATTTTTATAAATTTCAGACTATACGTTTCCGATTTATGGGGTTTTATTCATTACACAAAGGGGGATTTTCCAGTTTTCGGACAATAGCTCAAAAATGCTTTCAGCATTTTTTTATGAAACTTTGGTAAATTGTTTATATCTATTTTTGTAAGCTCCCTTTTGATTTTTATAAATTTTAGATTTTACGTTTCCGAGTTATAAGATTTTATTTGTTTATAGTCTGACAACAGATTTACTAAGTATTGCACAACAGCACAGTGTATTGCACAACAGCAAGAAATCTTTCATATAACCAATTTCAAGTTCTTTGACTACATTTATTCAGAAACCTATAATATATCAAATATTTAATTATAATCCAAATTCAGACCTGTATGATTCAAGCTTGAATATTGTGTCCATTTTTGCCCCAACTGTTCAGGGTTGGACCTCTGCGGTCGTATCCAGCTGCGCTCAGCGAAGCAGTTTATTTCGGTTATATTTCTCACAATCTGTTTCTGTTTTTTAAACTATCAAATTTCATGTCATTAACACGCAAATATGGCATTATTTGTTAATATCACACTCACAAAACTGTTCCCTCACATGAATTAGGGTGTTTTGTTGGTGCTAAAGTAGTAACACACATTTGAATGTTTGAAATGTTGACGTCTATGATACTTGTCTGGTTTGCTACTATCTATGTATATGCTGAAAGTTCATGTCAAAGAAAGGACGGTAAGCAATTAAAACAGTTTTGTTTAGAATGCATGCGTTTTAAGGAGGATGTTTACATCACATAAGGGAGAACAATAACGCATTGGAGTTTTTTTTTATTGTTTTCGTTTTCTGTTTTATTATATACATGTAGTTGATTCTATATTAGTAGGTTTTTGTTTTGGTTGAATAGGATTTTGAATAAAACAGCGTATTCACTAAAGAAAAGGTAAAATTTGATATTCACCTCGCTTAACGTCAGGTTCTTTTACGTGTCTGTTATTAAAATATAATATTTTCCTCGAAACATGGAATAAAACATTAACTTGTCTTTTGTTTTGGTAAATGTGTGGTTTAATTGAATTTTGAAGAAAAAAAAATGATATTGTAAATATTCATTATTCTAGTAACGTTTAGTAGATTTTGTTCTGACGTCACATGAACATCAAACATATCTGTCGTACAATAGATATTTATAACCAAAGCTCAATGTCATACTGATTTTTGTAGGCGGATATGATGTCACTGTAAATGTTAGAGGTGACCCCAGCAAGGAAACTCTTGAAGTTATTGCTTTTCATGCCTACATTTCAAAAGATGTGTATCCGGGAGCTGGCGATAGAACCGATTTGATGTAACAAAGGAAAATCAAGGAAGCGGCTACAACAGCAAAACTGGAGTTTTTACGTGTCCGAAGACAGGGATGTACGTATTTGTCTGGGTTATCCGAATTCATTCAGCCGAACATTCAACGGAGCTGATGATCAACAATTCCGTTTATGGTTCCACATTTCTTCGTGCCAAGAAAGGAGATGATGGATCAGTCAGTGGTACAGTTATTGCCCATGTGTCAAAGGGCGATACGGTTTATGTCCGTAACCATTCAGCATATGCTGGCGATGGTAAAATACACAGTAACCTACACGGTAAACCAACATTTTCTGGGTGGTTGCTTCAGTAGATTCAGTTGTAATTAATAAAACTGTTTTGACTGTTTACTATTTTAGTTTATCTACTATCGAGCTTATTTCTGAAATTCAAGTCATGTTTTTCTTTAATTGTAATTTACGTATTCACGAATAATTTTTGATCTTGTCTGTTGAATCTATGCATGACTTTGTTTCGACTTCAAGTAGAC